CAGCTTTGCTACCGAGAGCAAAGCTATCAGCGTATCTACCCGAGTGAAGGAGATACATGCGAACGCTGGATTTGAGTTGTGCCAGTTTTCATCCAGCTCACCAATTGTGGAGGCGGCATTGGGCGCCCCGGACGAGGAGTGAGCGTCGGATGGAATGAGGCTGAACAGAAGATTCTCGGAATGTGTTGGCTGCCAGCCACGGATGACTTCAGGTTCCCTGTGAAGTATCATCGAGCTCCATGCAGCGTTTTGAACGGCGATCGAGTCCCTACCAAGAGGGAATATCTGAGCTTGGTCATGTCCACGTTCGATCCCCTGGGATTCCTGTGCTTCCTTATGATAGCAGCGAAGTGGCTGCTACGAGATATTTTCCCACCAACAACAACGCAAGACAGCGGTAGAGAAGCGAAAGCGAAAGGAAAAACGAAAAGAATGCACCGCCGCTGCTGCTTGTATGTGTGGCTGTAAGTGCTATGTACCGCGGCTTGGGCTAACGAGCCCCCCTTTTGGCGAGATTTAAAACAACGGCTAAAGACGGTGTATAACCGTTGTATATACAATACAATACAATATATACAGATTTGCAAGAATATGCTAGTTGAAAATGCTTACGTATATGGAAGATCGTGTATATGTGCCGTATGTAGGGAATCGTGTTTTATTTTTATTGGTGTTTGTAGGGGGGCGGACGAAGCTCAAGTCTCCAACGACGATATGGATGATGAAGTGAAACCTCCTGTAGCCGTCGCAAGAAAAGAAAATGCCGTGGTGCTTTGTGGTAAATGTGTAGTATTTATTTCGGGGGTCGCGCGGTAGATCGTGCGTTTGAAACGGGGGTTGAAACGTCACTCCTTAACTCAATGCCTTATGGTGCTTTTTGTGGATTGTGGATCCGAGCGCCCCTCCGAGCGCGCGAGAGCGAGCCAGGACCGAGGCGCGCGGAGCCGGCACAGTGCGCGGAAACTGTCTACTGCTGGCTTTTTGCTTGGACTAATTCGATCCCAATATTGGCCTATTGGCGGGAGGAAGTAAAAAAGGCAGTAAAAAAGTGCGTAAGATTGGAGCGTATTATGGGGGATCATCCAAAGGAGCGGCTTGATGGTTCTCATGCCTTTGAGATCACAGGCGTAGACTTTGGTGGGCCGTTTTTCAACAAACCGGAGGAACGCAACAAGTCTCCAATCAATCGTTCGTTCTCTTTCGTCCGTGTCCGTGGTGTCCGCAAGTTCGCTAGTTGTCCCGTCTAACCCGATCCCAACAGTAAATAGACGTTCCGAACCTCCGGATATTGCCTCCACAGGTACTAGGCCTGTGGTGACTAAACGACAAGTTTTTGTTTCACGGCTGGCCCCTGACCTCACATCTAATGATGTAATTGCTTTTATTCAAAGCAAAATAAAAGCCGTAGTATTAAAGGTGGAGAAATTCAACTTCTCTTATGCCAGGGAGATAGCCTCGTTTAAAATAATCATCTCCCCAACTCAATTTGACACCATTTGCTCCGCCAAATTTTGTCCGGAGCATTTGGTGGTGAAGGAGTTTAAGGCTAAGAAGAAGAATAGGCCCCCCATATCCCTTCCAAATCTTTCCGGTGTGTCACCCTCAACTTCCTCTTACTCAACTTCCCGTCTTGCTTCCACCTTTCCAAAAAACTAACTTCTTTTTTAGTAACTTATCAGAATGTTAGAGGCTTACGTAGTAAGCTCAGTACTCTTTTCCGGGATAGTGTTGCATTTGCTTCCCACGTTATTGTGTTTACTGAAACCTGGTTAAAGCCGGACATTCTTAGTTCCGAGGTTTTGGCAGGTCGGTACACAACTTTTAGAAAGGACCGTTCGTCCAGACGTGCAGGAGGGGCTCTGATTGCAGTGGACTCTATCTTTACGTCGGAGCACTTCACAGTCCAGGTTCAACCGGAACTGGAGTTCCTGTGTGTAAAACTGATTCTTTCCGCTTTCGCTATATTCATTACTTGCTCGTATATTACACCTTCTTCGGATATCTCTATTTATGAGCAGCATTTGTTCGCTTTAACTGCTGTTTCCTCCTCGCTATCAGATAAATATCATATGATAGTTTTTGGTGACTTCAACTTGCCAGGAACTGTTTGGTTTTCGGTAAACGAGTCTAGTAACCTAGTGCCCATGTCACGACATGACTTTGTTAATGGCTTGCTTGACCTGTCCCTGTCTCAAGTCAACCATGTGAAAAATTCCTTGGGTCGATTGCTTGATCTGTACTTTGTATCGGATCCGACCTTAGTGTTGTTAACCCGATCCCTTCCGCTCACTAAACCTTTTGTTGGTGTTTCGTTTTTTTTTTTTAATTGTCATTTTCTCTTAAATACAAAAAATACTCATCATTTCCTCTTTTCATTTGACTTTTGTTTTTTTTTTATGTTATAAAATGTTATGTTTTTCTCCATTACACACACAAAAAAAAATTAAAATTGAAAAGCTCCTTGCTGAATACAAAGTTTAAAGTAAAATCAAATAATAAAAAAATATTTGTAAATATATGGGCCAAGACCGGGTGGGGGTGGTTGTGGCCTATACAATGCCATTGGATAAGCCATTAATTGCGTATCGAGCTATCGTATAATATATGTATATAGTGACATATCCATAATTCCCCACATCCCATACACATTATGTTTATGTACAATTCATCCACCCCATCCACACAAGTAACAGGACCCCACTCAAGAATCAATAACTGTTTCTTCCCATACTCCAAGCTTGGGCCCCCCATAATATAAACAATGGATCACATTGTTTCATCAACATTAGAATCACGCCACTCTCGAGAAATCGATTCTTTAGAATCACGCCACTCATGAGGACCAATCAAAGCTATACATAAAACCAAGGAGTATCACATTCCTAGCTCCGTCATGTAATGCAACACCGATCGCCAGCAGTGGATGCCTTTCATCAAAGCCGACGCATTCCCAAATATCGATCCAGAGCCGAAGCCAGAGTCGGGAGTTCCAAGAGAAGGGCTCATGGAAACTAGCCAGCAGCAGAGAGATCAGTTCCGTTTGAGACAAGCAGACCCACAGTCAAGTCGGGGAATTCATTTAAATCTTGTGACATAAAGATATTTAAGTTGTAAAATAAAAGTCTTTTTTAAAAAACTTAAAATCGAGTTGCGGATATTTAACTATATAGTGACATATCCATAATTCCCCACATCCCATACACATTATGTTTATGTACAATTCATCCACCCCATCCACACAAGTAACAGGACCCCACTCAAGAATCAATAACTGTTTCTTCCCATACTCCAAGCTAGGGCCCCCCCATAATATAAACAATGGACCACATTGTTTCAGCAACATTAGAATCACGCCACTCTCGAGAAATCGATTCTTTAGAATCACGCCACTCATGAGGACCAATCAAAGCTAGACATAAAACCAAGGAGTATCACATTCCTAGCTCCGTCATGTAATGCAACACCGATCGCCAGCAGTGGATGCCTTTCATCAAAGCCGACGCATCCCCAAATATCGATCCAGGCACGTACGCCACCGACACGAAGATGCAGCCGAGGAAAGCAACGCCCGAAGCCAGAGTCGGGAGTTCCAAGAGAAGGGCTCATGGAAACTAGCCAGCAGCAGAGAGATCAGTTCCGTTTGAGACAAGCAGACCGAAAGTCAAGTCGGGGAATTCATTTAAATCTTGTGACATAAAGATATTTAAGTTGTAAAATAAAAGTCTTTGTTAAAAAACTTAAATTCGAGTTGCGGATATTTAACTATATGTATGGATATTTGCATACACAAATATGGAGTTCATTAATTAATTAAACAAAAATACACCGCCGCAGACGGCTGGGTGGTGTTTGAATCAAGCATAGCTGAAGAAAGGCAACGCGGCTGCTAAAGAACACTTGTTATGCTTTTGCTATTTACTCTCTATACACGAGTATTGGTGTATAGGTGTGTTGTATATATATGTATGTATAGTATAGTATATGCGTGGATATTATGTATATCATGGTTGTAGTATACAATAATTTATAAGTCCTGGTTGTCGCTACATTCGGGTGCACGTTTGCACATCGGGGGTTTAGTTGTAAAGTTGTCAAAAATATGAATTATTTGTTTTGTATACATATGATGTACAGTGGGCTGCAAAAGTGAGTACATACTCACAATCACTGACTTTAGCCTCCCATAACAGGCAAACGAATAAAGCCAAACAAACCAAATTTGTTCCCCATATAAATACTTGTATTCTTAAAAAATAAGGAATAATATGAAATATTGAAATATTATGGTCTGAAGTTGCTTTACATGGTAGCACGTTGGTCCTCTACAAAAAATGTATGTTATTCAGTTCAGAGAGGACTATTTACAACTTCTACAAGCCTAACTTCTTAATTTTCCGGAGAAATGTATTTATCCTGAATTTAACTAACTTGTTTACAAGACAGGAATCCGAAGCAAATTGCGAAAAATGTTCGAGAATGACTGGTTAATCAAAATTTTAAATTTCTGGAGTGGTTATCTCAAAGAACCGACCTTAATCCGATTGAAAGCCTACGGTCAATCGTGAAACGACGGCTTGAGCACTACGAATCAGCGCCATCTAACCAAGGCGATCTCTGGGGATGTATAGATGCGGAGTGCAATCCTATTTCAAAAGATATTTTTGGGAATTTGATAGAGAACATTCCAAACCGTATTAAAAAAGTAAAATCTAATATGGGTCTATGCGCAAAATGTTAATATTATGATTTACTTTAATTTTTATGAAAAAGTGCAAAACCGAGTACATGCGAGTTCTTTTGGTTTTTTACTTTTCATTCTTTGAAAAATTTTTACTCGTTCTTGTAATTATTGTTTATTTTTTAAGAATACAAGTATTTATATGGGGAACAAATTTGGTTTGTTTGGCTTTATTCGTTTGCCTGTTATGGGAGGCTAAAGTCAGTGATTGTGAGTATGTACTCACTTTTGCAGCCCACTGTATATTTGGGGGCTGCTACTGCTACTGCTGCTGCGCTGTGTGTGCTGATTTTTATAGGAAATTTACTCCGATATATCAATTGGAATGGATGTGGTAAACGTGGGCGTATCCAAAAGGCATCCAGCTGATACATGTGGTACATGTAACGCCACAGCGCTGTCAAGTGCGTTGGTATCTCAAAGTCCACAAAGTATTTGCCAGCCACACGGATGTGCTGTAGACGGGGCATCAGCTCACAGTCGAAGCAGCACATGGTGTCGCCCGTAAGGAAGCGTGTATTGCGATTGGCCAAATGGTCGTTGATCTTCTTAAGGTGCGACAAGAGGACATTGTTCTTGGCATCGTCCTTCTTCACCAGCATCAGCTTCAACTTCACATACAGGTTCTCGATCAGAGTGGCCACCTCCTTGTCCTGCACGAACAGATTGTAGCCGCCGGGTATATTCTTCATAATGTGACGCTCGATCTTCTCGTTCTCCAGTATGGCTAGGCCGTTGTCAATCAGGATGGGCGGATGCGTCGCCTCGAAGCACCTGAAGACGCCTACTATCCTACTTTCGAAGTGTCGCTAGATATAGGACCAACTGTATTCGATCGGTCGAGAAGGCCACCTGAACGTGTCCGTTTCTTTCGTAAAGCCGAGTTTACGAAGCTTAATAATCTTATTAGGGATTTTGATTGGTCCGCTTTGTACTTGTGCACTGATGTCATAAAAGGCACAAACATTTTTTACAATGCCCTTGGCATTTGTACAAATTTAAAGAAGTTGGTTCTCCTACTTCTCACACTCGCTATGTAATAGCTCGGTCAAACTTTTCAGTTCTCTATGCTTAATGCTACCTAGAACTACCTATCTCGATGCAGGATACGTTGCTTAAACTATTCACCCTGTGCATTGATTCTTCTTGCTTCCTCCCATCTGGAAGGAATCGTTTATAATTCCTCTTCATAAAAGAGATAGCAAGTCTGAAGCAACAAATTATAGAGGTATAGCAAAGTTATCCGCTATTCCCAAAATGTTTGAAAAGGTTTTAACTCCGCACTTGCAATATCTCTGCAAGTCACTTATATCTCCAACTCAGCATGGATTTATAGGGCGGCGATCAACCACCACGAACTTGTTAGAGATTACCTCTTTCATTATTAAAGGCTTTCAAGGTAACTTACAGACGGATGTTATTTACACCGACTTTAGTAAAGCATTCGACTCTGTAAACCATTCCCTTTTAGCGCATAAGCTTGACCTTTTAGGGTTTCCTCCCAACCTGCTGAAATGGATTTATAGCTAACTTTGTTCCAGGTCTCAAGAGTCGTCTTCAAAAACTCCCTCTCTTCACCAGTAAAGGTTTCTTCGGGAGTACCACACGGCAGCCATCTAGGCCCCTTACTCTACACACTCTTTATTAATGACTTGCCTTCGGTATTAACATACTCTCGAGTACCTTTGTATGCGGATGATGTTAAACGGTGTGTCCAGTATAAGGACATTTCATTTCATTCTCGCTTGCAATCCGATCTCAGTAACTTTCAGTCATGGTTTTGTGCAAACTTGTTACACCTTAATGCCTCGAAATGTAAAGTTATGACACTTCACCGTTCTAGTCCCTTGTAGGCTCCATATACCCTATTTGGTGGTTCTCTTGAGAGAATTACCCTGGTGGATGATCTTGGTGTTATGTTAGACCCCAAGCTAAAGTTTTCTGCTTGGGTTTATAAAGAGGTGGTCAAAGGAATTTGACTACCCCTATATAACAAAGACTGTCTATACCTTGCTAGTTCGTCCGATTTCGGAATACGGCTCCACTGTATGGTGCCCTCAGTACAAAGTACACCAGGACCGTATAGAATCAGTACAGAAAAACTTTTTACTCTTTGCTCTGTAGGGCCTTAACTGGGATGAAGGTGTGAGACTCACATCTTAATCTAGTAGACTGCTATTAGTAAACCTGCCATCCTTAGTTAACCGTAGAAAAATGCTTGGTGTGATTTTTGTGCACAACTTGATCAGGGGTGACATAGACAACCCTGATCTGTTGGGCCGCATAAACTTCACGATTCCTATTAGACTCACTAGGAATTGTATACCGTTGTTCCTTCCACTTTGTAGGTCGAATTATTCCTTGTATGAACCGTTTAGGGTCTTATGCTCGGATTATAATTCCCTCTACCATATTATATCCACTACTAATTCTCTTCCTCTTATTAAATTACGAATCCTCACTCACCATTCTAGTAATTAGTAATTGTAGTGGTATTCGTAAATGTATTTTGAATGCATGTTTGGCTTCTTAGTAGTGTAGTGCTAATTTTCCTCGAGTATTAGTCTTAAAGCTATCTTTCCTGCATGTACGCGTTTGGTTCGGGTACGTACCAAGCGTCATGCGGTCGGTTGGGCAGGAGGAGGGCTGCGTTTTGCCTCGGATCCGCGCGTAACAGCCTTCTGCTGGTGTCACGCTGGCCACTTGACGGTGCAGTAATTGCATCGGCTCTTGAAAGATGCAGTCAATGCATGTCAATGTCCATATTAAACTGTACCTGGATCTTTTTATACCCGATACTCAAAATGAGTATTGGGGTATATTAGATTTGTGGTGAGAATGGATGTGTGTAACGTCCAGAAGGAATCGTTGCCGACCCAATAAAGTATATATATGCTTGATCAGCATCAATAGCCGAGTCGATTGAACCCTGTCTGTCTGTCCGTCTGTCCCTCTGTCCGTCCGTCCGTCTGTCCGTCCCTTTTAGCGCCTAGTGCTCAAAGACTATAAGAGCTAAAGCAACGATGTTTTGGATCCAGATTTCAGTGATATGTCACTGTTACGAGAATATTTCAAAACTTCGCCCCGCCCACATTCGCCCCCACAAAGGACGAAAATCTGTGGCATCCACAAATTTAAAGATACGAGAAAACCAAAAACGCAGAATCGTAGAGAATGACCATATCTTTTAAAATCTGAATTGGATCGTATCATTATTATAGCCAGAATAAAGAAAACAATTTCATTTTTTCTCGCCCCGTCTCTCTCTAACACAGACGTATCATAGTCGGCTTTGCTTAGCTTAAAACATTAGCGCCTAGATCTCAGAGACTATAAAAGCTAGAGCAACCAAATTATTGACCCACACTACTGAGATATCGGACCTTGACGAGTTTGTTTCAAAGTATCGCCACACCCCCTTCCGCCCCCGCAAAGGACGAACATCTGGGGGTATCCACAAATCTCAGAGACTATTAAGGCTAGAGTAACCAAATTTAGTATCCGCACTTCTGTTAGATCTCAATATAAAAGGTATATTTCAAAATTTCGCCCCACCCTCTTCCGCCCCCACAAAGGACGAAAATCTGTTGCATCCACAATATTGCACATTCGAGAAAACTAAAAACGCACAATCATAAAGAATGACCATATCTACCAGATAACCGAATCTGGATCAGATCAGATCATTTTTTTAGCCAAAAGGAACAAATTAATTTGCAGTGGCTACGAAACGACCGACGACATGCTCTCCCGCACGCACACATTGTCGCTCAATGTAGCCATACTGACCATGTATCGGGTATAAATATAGAGCTGCGGTCGCCGCAGAAACTCACAACGTTCCCCCTCGTTTGACCTGTAAATGCTGACGGATCCGTTTTCTCCTTTCAGAATGTCGGAGATTGGGTTCGCGATTGCTGAGAAGTCCTTAAAGAAACAACGATAATACCCCCATGAATGGTCTGCCGCTAAATACCGTTTTAGGCTCAACGTAGCCGTTCACGTTTTCAGGGTCCATTTTTGCGCCGTGTTTAGTTACGATAAAGCCGAGGTACTCGACGCTCTATGTAACAAATTTTGACTTTCGCGGGCCACAGTCATGTTTGCACTATGAAGGCTCTTTAATACCCAGCCGACGTATTTGACGTGATCCACCTCGTTTTCGTAGAAGACGATGACATCATCAACGTACACGTAGCACGATTTACCGATTTGTTCTCGTAGAACATCATCAATCGTGCGCTGAAAAATACCTCCGCAATTTTTTAAGCCGAAGGGCAGTCGACCAAATTCGTACTTCCCACCGTTAACTGAGAATGCCGTTTTATCTCGAACAGATTCTGCCAGAGTGATCTGGTGGTAGCCTGATTTGAGATCGAGAGTGGTGAAGTACTTCGCTTTACATAAATTTGTCAGTATCATTGTCTATCATTATATGCTCGGCATGCGGTATGTGTCGGAGATGTTTTTTGAATTCAGTTTCCTGAAATCGAAGACTAGGCGCTTCTTCATATTGCCCTTCTCGTCCGTCCCCTTTTTGTCCACTACCCATACCGGATTGTTGTATGGGGATCTGGACTTTCTGATGATGCCGTTTCGTAAGAGATCGTTGACCTCTGAAGTTACAAAATCTTCGACACCTTTGGGGTATGGATACAACTTTGAGTAGACCGCGTTTTCGTCGGTCGTTTAGGAAATCAGCTTTTACCGCAGGTGGTGCTTGTATATCTTCGTTTTTGGTGTGGTTGACGTTAGTACACTTACACCTTTTTTTTATTGGGCCTTCATCAAGGCATAAGGAAAGTGTTCATGGAAGAAAAAGGTCGTATCCAAACATGGATATCTTGCATTTCTGCGTGATGTTGTTTGTGCCATGGATGGAGTGCACGGCGAAAGGGGACAGGGGTAACGTTTTTTAGTCGTTCGTTTGGTGTGATATAATTTTTGGCCGAACCCGCGTCGATTAGAAAAGACATGTCTATCACTGCTATTCTGCGCCGAGTGAACGGTAGCAGGGACCTTCCCCTAAAAAAATAGCGTTGTCGCTATCTGTGTCAGAGTCGTTGCCGTCGTCCATTTCGGCTACCGCTTCCTGTGCTACTTGTGCGAGTTCGCCTCTTGTTCAGCGACTGCTTTGAGGAGGTTTATCTTTTGCCGCCTTTGGCCAGTTGCACGATCGGAACCGGCGGGGCGTTTGCTACCTTGGCCTTGACCCTGATTTTGAAATTTCTGCCAGTTCGTTGGTTGCCTGTATTTCGAGGACGAGGGGTCTACGTCCATAGGCTCTGGGGCTTTTTCGCCACCGGCCTGAGCTCTATCGGCGTTATAGTTACCGTTTTGCTTTTTATAATAAGGATTTTTACCCTGGTGGTTCTGGTTGGACTGGTTCGTGCCTTGGGACTGCTGATTCTGACGGCCTTGTTGCCGTTGGTCAGAGCGTCCCTTTTCTTCCACACCCCTAGCATAGCTTTTTGCGAAAGCGTATTTTTTGTGGTTTGCTTCCACCTCCTGTGCCAATGCCAGGGCTGTTGGCAAATCGGGGGGGGGGGGGTGAGCGTAGAACAGTACGGCCGTCAAGCTACGCTTCAGCCCAGAGATGAATACACGGAGTGCGTCGCCTCTGAACTTTTCGCACATGCCCTTTGCCAAGCTAATGTCGTACGTCATGTGGGCCTTGTTGGTCAACAAGGTAAGTTTCTTTTCTACCTCATCATAGTACTGTAGAATCGACATTCCGCCTTGCCTCAGCGTACCCACTTCTTGTTCACTGACATGTATGGGTCTCTTATCGTTGAATGTGAAGTCTATCCTTTCGATGATGGCCTCGATGTTCAACGGTGTGTTCAATGATGTCAAGACCGCATTTGCTGTGACCCTTATCTGACTCCGGGCTATGAGTGAAATTAGAAAATTTTGTATGCGGCATGGGCCTGCCTCCATGCTACGTATGTTTCCTGAGTTCCATTTTACTCAGGGACGCACTTCACTGCGTCAAGAGGCTCATCACAAAGTATCCTGTCGGTTATTTCTACATCCTTATAGACTTTTACCTCGGGTACCGCGAGCGGTGAGTTTTGTATTTTACAATTTATTAATGCTATTTGTTGCTGAAACTCCTGTTTGAGGGCGTCCTCCCTCCTAGTGTTCTCTCGCGCCTGCACTGTGAGTGCGCTTTGCACGTCCGTGTCATTTATAGCTTTGAGATGTTCAGCGCCCATATCTGTTTTTTCGGTTTGGCTGCACGCAGCGGGTTGGTCAACTTGGTCAGGTACTTGTAGGTCAATGAACTCCCCAAGCAAACTTGCTAACGTTCTGGCACCAAGTTCGTATCGTTTCTGTTTTTTGTTTAGTCTATTTCTGTCCATTCGGTTTAAAACAGATTTATTGTAAGACTACGGCATGAATGGTCACCAAAATGAAAATTCTCTAACTCACTCGTTTTAGTTTTATTATACCCGATACTCAAAATGAGTATTGGGGTATATTAGATTTGTGGTAAAAGTGGATGTGTGTAACGTCCAGAAGGAATCGTTTCCGACCCCATAAAGTATATATATTCTTGATCAGCATCAAAAGCCGAGTCCATTGAGCCATGTCTGTCTGTCCGTCCGTCCGTTCGTCTGTCCGTCCGTCCGTCTGTCCGTCCCCTTCAGCGCCTAATGCTCAAAGACTATAAGAGCTAGAGCAACGATGATTTGGATCCAGACTTCTGTGATATGTCACTGCTACAAGAATATTTAAAAACTTTGTCCCGCCCACTTTCGCCCCCACAAAAGTCGAAAATCTGTGGCATCCACAATTTCGACGATACGAGAAAACTAAAAACGCAGAATCGTAGAAGATGACTTCTTCTAGAGTGCAACATCTGAACCAAATCGTAAAATTATTATAGCCAGAATCAAGAAAACAATTTCACTCTTTCTCTCTCCAACACACGGGTTTCATGGTCGGTTTTTCCAATTGTAAAATATGAGTTCAAGGATCTCAGAACCCATAAGAGCTAGAGCAACCAAATTTGGTATCCACACTCCTGTGATATCGGACCATGACCGTTTTGTGTCCAAATTTCTACACACCCCCTTCCGCCCCCGCAAAGGACGAAAATCTGGGGCAACCACAAATCTCAGAGACTATTAAGGCTAGAGTAACCCAATTTAGTATCCGCACTTCTGTTAGATCTCACTATAAAACGTATATCTCAGAATTTCGCCCCACCCCCATCCGCTCCCCCAAAGAACGAAAATCTGTTGCATACACAATATTGAGGATACAAGAAAACTAAAAACGCAGAATCATAGATAATAGCCATATCTATCAGATTGCTGAATCTGGATCAGATCAGATAATTTTTATAGCCAAAAGGAACAAATCAATTTGCACTGGCTACGCAGCGCCCGACGTCACGCTCAGACTGATTTTCTGTCTCTCTCGCACGCACTCTTTGTCGTGTCGTTTAATATTAGCGGCGTCTGCCGGAGGAGAGCCATACTGACTAAGTATCGGGTATAAATGTAGAGTTGCGGTATCCGCAGCAACTCACAACGTTCCCCCTGGTTTTTACTTTATTTGAAATTTACTTTATTATTGGAATTCTCCCTATTCAAATCTCATACATGTTTTCTAACTTAGATATATCCAGCGCAGCAGTCGTGTTTATATTAAAGCGAGTAGTTATCCCTCGCTACGGTCGTCGCGTTGGAGGTGCAGGGGACAGTGAAGAGTATATTTGTTTCTCGCCGCAGTCTTTGTGTTTTTTTTTTTTTTATGCAAGATTCTCTTTCTCTCGTCTCCTTTTTTATTGTGTTACACACACACACACACAAAAAAAATTATTATTTTTTGTTTTTCTCACTTTCTGTTTGAGTTTTCACAACAAAAATTGTACACCTTGTTTGGTTCTTTTTCCGTTGGGCGCCAATTATTAGATTACACCTGAACACAACGAGTATGCTGTTATTAGGTATTTTTATTGGTTATGTTAAGTTAACTATTCCTCAGAAGCGTTAGCTAGCTGACTGATATCAAACGTTGGAGTTATGATAGTTATTGAACTCGGTAGCGGTAGCTGACCGAATATTATGAACGAGAATTAAGTGATAAAGGCGAGCGATACGCTCTTTATTTGGATTCAAACTTAAGACTAATTATTAATGAAATTAAAAGCTATGATTGCAGCCGGCTTCGCGGACAGTGCTGCCGCGGCACTGCCGTCACTGCAGAACCGTCGCCGCCGTTCCAAGAACTTACACGTCGCTGGCAGCTGTTCGGCACCCGTGGGAACTGCTGACTTTCGCCTTGTGGGTGGTGTTGAATTACTGCAGCTGCATCCGTTAAACCTGTGACTCTGGTCGTGGACCTCGCTGATATGCTAGGTCAGCACACGTCCAGTGACGGTGGTTAACTTACACACGTACAAACACACATATGTACTATGCACATGCAAGTAGGCGTACTTAAACAATCTGAGCTTTTGGACACGACGCAGGCTGAATACCATGATGAAAATGATTCTAATGTGAAGTCATGTATGAAAAAACTTTGCGTGTTTTTACATATGTACATTCGATCATAATATTCGTATATTCTATATTAAATAAAACTAGCATATAAAGCGTATAAAATATAAGACCTAAATTTTGGGCAAGCGTCTTCAAAAAATTACACATGTATGTAATCTAAAACCTAAAATGTATGAAAATCCTGTGCACACATATTTAAATCTCAGCCTCATGTATAGAACCAGAGAGCGGCTGGGTTTTGAGCGCACTCTCGTTGCTGTTAAAAAAACGTAAGAGAGCCTGGAGCCTGGTCTAAAGCCAGACAGTAAAAATTGCATGGGCGTTACTTATCTTAGTATTACACTCGTATTGTCTTTGGTTGAATTTGATTAGTGTTTATATTTCTGGGAGCAAACTGATTCAGTCTAATCATTTGTAAAAAAGAAAAATACATTTTTTAATTATTAAAAGAAAAACTCACCGCAACAGTTTGGCATTCTTTGACATTGCTCCAAATGCACACTAGTCTGATATGTCTGCTGGTCATTGCACAGGCCTGTTATTTCATACATTTTATTAGAGTGCATCAGGTTGTGAATTAGTGCGAAATGGGGATGTAAGTCCCAAATCAGAAGAGCAGTTTTTTCCAGTTTTGGCAGGGTCTGTAACTCAATAACTCGGACATAGATCACTATGCCTAATGATAAAAATATTGAAAGTATTAAATAACCAGAACGATGCTCTGCCGAACAGAAAGAAACACAACAATTCATGCACTGGGCACAGAAAGCAGCTGCTAGTAATATGTGGATAAAAAACACTATACAATTGAAAAGATTTAGAGAAAAATTAATCTTTGTATGTTAGATAGTTACTTACTGAAAACCTCCATATTCATAAGAATGTCACGGTGAACAACAATTATAGCTAGATTCAATGGTAGGCAGCATATGACTATGCTAAGTACATTATATATAAAAGATGCCATGCCTAGTCTACAAATCGGCATTCCGGCAATTACCTCAATATGACCGTATCGATTTCCACGCCACATTGTAAAAAATAGCAAAGGTAGAGTCCATATAAAGCCGAAAGAGAAGCACAGGATAATATTAAACATGAAAGCATTACTGTCTATGCTATGATGCAACTGTACAGAATGAGTTGTAGTGTATGGTAATGGCTCCATTTCCACATAAATCCTTGATTCGGAACCCACAAAAGCACTGAAAAGTTGAACAAGCTTAGTAATTAAATGATTAACTGGAACACTGTGCGACAACATGTTACTTTTGGAATGTACTTTACACGAGATAAAAATTATGGTGTAGGGCTGGACGAATAGATTACTCTTCATACTTAGAATTTGAAATATACATGCCTCCAAAATCTTTTTTAAAATTCAAGATTCTCGATTTTGTGACTGCGGTCTTTTTTATTGTATTATAAAATGGGATTGATTTATTACCTTTATCTAGTATCTTTGAAATTTTTTGGAAAATTGATAGGAAGCTAATTTTTTCGGCAAATATGTACATGCCACTAAAAAATTAATTTCTAAAAGTGTGATCATACCATACAAACAATTTTTTTTTTGTGGATGGGTGCTGCAAATGCCGAGTGCAAATTATAAAAATGCGCAAACTCACCAAATCGCGGTTTTTGATTTTTAAAAAAGATGTTGGAAATTCTAAATACGAGTGATTTACTCATACAGGCCTACAAATTACTTTTGTCTCGTGGAAAGTACAAAATGACTATCGCATAGTTTAATTAACGTACAAAGCCAGGACATTCATCACTTGCGCCAGACTATTCGGAGCAGTGTTAAGCCATTTGTTGTTGAACAGGGCCTCAACGTTATTTTCCTTAAATATGGCTGCAGCAGTAAACTTCATATCCGTTAGCAAGTAATGGTCCGCAGAATAGTTGCGCATATATTCCATAATATCTTTATCCGGTTCCAGTTCTATGGCGCCTTCGCTGACGTACCTTCTTTCTGCGGCTAGTAGTGGCCTACCCGTAGCTTTAAGCTGCACTAGAGTAGTGGCCTTACCGAAGAGGTTAACGGGGAAGGGTTTCATTTTCATTTTCTGGCCCAGATACGGAATACTGAGAGCCCAGATGGTTAACAGTGTTGGGAAAAATATTTGCAGCATTGGCATGCAGTAGAATCTGATGTCTCTGATTAGAGACTTATGCAGAACAATAATAGTGTGCGTACGCCGTAAAGGATTTATCTTTTTTTTACTGAGTTCAAAACGAGATCCCCTGTTTTCTCGTATTCTATAAACTAATCCATGGAACTCTTCAATGTTGGCAGCAACGTTATCGATTTGTTCTGTTCTTAGAGCATTATGGAAAACTGTTTCGAGAGAGCAATCCTTGAGATAAAAGCTTTTTATATTCAAGTCCCCTTTACGTTTTTGCAAAACATCAAGCAAACTAGTTAGATTTGATAAGCTGCTATACATTATAGCGAATATTGTACAATTGCCCAGCTTTGATTCAAGTTTGATACCAGGAACGTAATATTCTAAGAATATAATCAATTTACCAATATCGCAATGTTCTTTAGCAAAAAAAACCTGCAAAGTAAAACACGAGTTTTATCATATATATAAATAAGGTTTAACTGAGTGTATCAATGAGAAAGAAAGATTATGCTAGGCGACTTGGAAGAGACCCTTAGCTTCAGTATGAGTGCGTTTGGGAGTTTCTTGTGCCTGTGTTTTGGGGAAATGCTTGATAGTTTGGCCAGCTAGCTGATCTGCGCTCAAGAGGCAGATCATGTTGTCGTTCAAAAGGAATGTGTAACATAAACAATAGTTGTTTATGTCACTGCGTTTATATACGCGCTTGTATATGAGTTTATATATGTTATATGAGTATATAGCAGTGTATTACATATGTACATGCATGTAATATATGAATTTATTTATAGAACAAAAGTTTGTTTGATAAAATGTTAGATATAGATATAGTTTGTATTTTTATTTATTTTTTTTATTTATTTTTTTTTTAAGTAATAGCCGATAAACTACTTGTGTCATACAACAGAGTAAAATAATTATGTAATAAAAGATTTTAATCTATCCTTATGTACTTTTTATTTTTTATCTTTAATATTTGATATTGTTATGTTATCGTTATTTCTTATACTGTCTACTGTATAAGGTCCAGTATATTTGAAATCTAGCTAATGACCTGTTTCATTTCTTAGTAAAACTCCTATATATTATTATCTCCTATTTTTATCTTCAAATTTAGACTTTGTTTGTCATAATTAATCTTTTTTTTGTTTATTTGATTCTAAAAATGATCGTGGACGTTGACAGGCAATGACTGCATCTTTCAAGAGGCGATGCAATTACTGCACCGTCAAGTGTCCCGTCTGAAACCTGAAGAAGGCTGTTACAAGAGCATGCAGGAAAGATAGCTATTAGACTAATATTAATAATTATTAATTAATTAATAATTAATTAATTAATAATTAGCACAAAAATTACTAAGAGAGCTAGGCATGCATTCAAAATACATTTACGAATACCACTACAATTACTAATTACTAGAAAGGTGTGTAAGGATTAGTAATTTAACAAGAGGGAGAGAATTAGTGGTGGATATAATATGGTAGAGGGAATTATAATACGAGCATAAGACCCTAAACGGTTCATGCAAGGAATAATTCGATCTAAAAAGTGGAAGGAATAACGGTATACAATTTTTGGTAAGTCTAATAGGAATCGTGAAGTTTATGCGGCTCAACAGATCAGGGCTGTCTATGTCACCCCTGATCAAGTTTTGCATAAAAATCACATCAAGCATTTTTCTACGGTTAACTAAGGATGGCAGGTTTACTAATAGCAGTCTACTAGAGTAAGATGGGAGTCTCACACCCGCATCCCAGTTAAGGCCCATCAGAGCAAAGAGTAAAAACTTGTTCTGTACTGATTCTATACGGTCCTAGTGTACTTTGTACTGAGGGCACCATACACAGGACCCGTATTCTAAGATCGGACGAACAAGCGAGGTATAGAGAGTCTATGTTATATAGGGGTCGTCAAATTCCTTTGACCACCTCTTTATAAACCCAAGCACGCCCATGGCCTTATTTACCAAGGTAGAAATGTGTTCAGAAAACTTTAACTTGGGGTCTAACATAACACCAAAATCATCCACCAGGGTAATTCTCTCAAGAGAACCACCAAATAGAGAATAGGGAGCAAACAAGGGGCTAGAACGGTGAAATGTCATAACTTTGCATTTCGAGGCATTAAGGTGTAACACGTTTGTACAAAACCATGACTGAAAGTTGCTGAGATCGGATTGCAAGCGAGAATGAAATGAAATGTTCTTATACTGGACACACCGTTTAACATCATCCGCATACAAAGGTCAAGTCATTAATAAAGAGTGTGTAAAGTAAGGGGCCTAGATGGCTGCCCTGTGGTACTCCCGAAGAAACCTTCACTGCTGAAGAGAGGGAGTTTTTGAAGACGACTCTTGAGACCTGGAACAAAGTTAGCTAGAAATCCATTTCAGGAGGTTGGGAGGAAACCCTAAAAGGTCAAGCTTATGCTCTAAAAGGGAATGGTTTACAGAGTCGAATGCTTTACTAAAGTCGGTATAAATAGCATCCGTCTGTAAGTTACCTTGAAAGCCTTTAATAATGAAAGAGGTAATCTCTAATAAGTTCGTGGTGGTTGATCGCCGCCCTATAAATCCATGCTGAGTTGGAGATATAAGTGACTTGCAGAGATATTGCAAGTGCGGAGCTAAAACCTTTTTAAATATTTTGGGAATAGCGGATAACTTTGCTATACCTCTATAATTTGTTGCTTCAGACTTGCTATCTCTTTTATGAAGAGGAATTATAAACGATTCCTTCCAGATGGGAGGAAGCAAGAAGAATCAATGCACAGGGTGAATAGTTTAAGCAACGCATCCTGCAACGAGATAGGTAGTTCTAGGTAGCATTAAGCATAGAGAACTGAAAAGTTTGACCGAGCTATTACATAGCGAGTGTGAGAAGTAGGAGAACCAACTTCTTTAAATTTGTATAAATGCCAAGGGCATTGTAAAAAATGTTTGTGCCTTTTATGACATCAGTGCACAAGTACAAAGCGGACCTATCAAAATCCCTAATAAGATTATCAAGCTTCGTAAACTCGGCTTTACGAAAGAAACGGACACGTTCATGGGCATGGGCACTAGGTTACTAGACTCGTTTACCGAAGACCAAACAGTTCCTGGCAAGTTGAAGTCACCAAAAACTATCATATGATCTTTATCTGATAGCGAAGAAGAAACTGCAGTTAAAGCGAACAAATGCTGCTTATAAATAGTGGACGGTTTTCTAAGGGTTAAACTACAAAGAGAGTGAGAGCGCTCTAACTGCAATTGCCCACTCGGAGAACGACGTCGTTTCATGCTAGGGCGGCGTAACCTCGTCTCCGATCACCAAGAAGAGTCTTCGTTTGCGTGTCGACGAAATCACAACGACAATTAGCAGTTGCAGCCGGCCGCGCTTAAACCCGTATTACCCATCACATTGTACTCTATACGCGAATTACGATTAAAGTTTAAGTTGATTGAAGTATAAATGAATAAATCTCGAATTGTCTATATCGTGTAGTACATTATTAAACGCAAAGATTCCCCAGAGCATTTCTGCTCAACATTGAAATCTCGTATCGAGGATTTCACAACAAATAGAGATATCCGAAGAAGATGGAATATACGAGCAATTAATGAATATAGCGAAAGCGGAAAGAATCAGTTTTACACACAGGAACTCCAGTTCCGGTTGAACCTGGACTGTGAAGTCATTAATAAAGAGTGTGTAGAGTAAAGGGCCTAGATGGCTGCCCTGTGGTACTCCCGAAGAAACCTTCACTGCTGAAGAGAGGGAGTTCCGACGTGAAGATAGAGTCCACTGCAATCAGAGCCCCTCCTGCACGTCGAGACGAACGGTCCTTTCTAAAAGTTGTGTACCGACCTGCCAAAACCTCGGAACTAAGAATGTCCGGCTTTAACCAGGTTTCAGTAAACACAATAACGTGGGAAGCAAATGCAACACTATCCCGGAAAAGAGTACTGAGCTTACTACGTAAGCCTCTAACAATCTGATAAGTTACTAAAAGAGAAGTTAGTTTTTTGGAAAGGTGGAAGCAAGACGGGAAGTTGAGTAAGAGGAAGTTGCGGGTGGCACACTGAAAAGATTTTTAAGGATAATGGGGGCCTATTCTTCTTCTTAGCGTTAAACTCCTTCACCACCAAATGGTGTCCAATTGAGTTGGGGAGATGATTATTTTAAACGAGGCTATCTCCCTGGCATAAGAGAAGTTGAATTTCTCCACCTTTAATACTACGGCTTTTATTTTGCTTTGAATAAAAGCAATTACATCATTAGATGTGAGGTCAGGGGCCAGCCGTGAAACAAAAACTTGTCGTTTAGTCACCACAGGCCTAGTACCTGTGGAGGCAATATCCGGAGGTCCGGAACGTCTATTTACTGTTGGGATCGGGTTAGACGGGACAACTAGCGAACTTGCGGACACCACGGACACGGACGCTGCAGACGTACTTGGCTGCACATTCTCCGAGGCGATGAATTTGGCTACCGAATCTGCATCGCCAGCGGCTTTCGTTGCCCTTGGAGTGGCAAACGAAATCAGCTGCTGCACACTTGGAGTGGTCGGAATCAGGTTTTCGGCGGCGCACGGCTGAGTGACGGTTGGCACTTGCAGATCCCGCGGAGTGACCTTTTTACGCCTCGGAGACTCATTCAGCAGTTGCAGACCGCCAAATTGAGACTCCAGGGCTAGGAAACGGTTGGATTCCTTTTTAAAGCTAAGGGTCTGCTCTTTAAAGCCCTTCCGCGTCTGCCTCATAAAAGCCACCATATCATTCTCCACCGCACGGCATGCCTCGCCACTGTAATGCAACCCATAACGTTTGGCTATAGCATCACTCACGATGAAAATCCAGCGCATTTTGCGTCCACTACGCTGTCGCAGAGCCAGCAGGGCACATTTGGCTGATCGTGGGTGATCTGATTGTTACAGGTTTTTTTGGCGCA